CACAATTACAGGATTAAGGGCTATAAAGTGAATACGGTTTGAGGGCTACAGGAAAATCTGTTGCAGATATAGTCATATTGAAAATCTGAGAAATCATTTTTATTAACATTAATCTATACTAATCTATTATATCTATATATACTAATCTATTAACATTAAAATAAACATTATCTGGAAATGATAAATGCGAAATCCACAGTTGAGGCAAACCCACGTCTTTTAATGCTGATCAGAAGTACAGTTGTTGCAGTGCAGGAATGACTGAGCTGGTGTGTGTGTGTGTGTAATCTGGCCGTAAAGCCGTGTTATTTGGACTGGCACAGCGGTTTGAGGGTCCTGTGCCAATGACCTGTCTAATAGCATTCCTCCACTGATCCATCTGGACACGCCCCTTTCCCAGATCCATCCATCAGGACACGCCCCTCTTTCTCTGTCCCGTATCCATCATGTACTGTCCTGCTGGAGGGGCTTTGGGTAATCCTGCAGTGAAAGGGCAAAACACACACACACTTCTTGGCAGCATCTCTCTCTGACTGCTGTTTCACATTTAAATCTGTGTGTTACGACATTAGCCACTGATGCTGGCCTTTGAAAGGCTAAGTGATATATTGAATATTCACTGCATATTTTAGGTCATTTTTTAAATGTCAGAATGATTTTATTTGGACATTAATTTCCATAGAGTGCATTTCATTGGACTAGTCTGGCAATTTAGGTGTATGAGGGTATTAACGTTTCTGATTTAAAATTCAGAATTCATTAGAGTTGGTAAGTCTGATTCATTTCTCATAATTTGTCGTCATTCACTCACCCTCAATTTCCTCCAAACCTGTATTTCTTTTGTTGAACTGGAAGAGTATGTTGGTAACCAAACATTTGTTGGACCCCATTGACCCATATGTGGAAAAAATACAATAGAAGTCAATGGGGTCCAACAACTGTTTGGTTACCAACATACTCTTGTTCAGCAGAAGAAACAAACTCATACAGGTTTGGAATAAAATTGACGGTGAATGAATGACGACATTCAGATCATGCACGTAAAACTAAATCAAACTATACTGACATCACTGGAGTCTAAGGAAGCATTAAATCATGTTTGTTTATTAATTATTAATAAATGTATGTGTTAATAATTATGCAGAAATTATAGTATAATACTGGAATGCAGAAATGCTACATTTCGAATGTAATTGACTGATTTGAAATGACATTTCCTCTTATTAAGAAATATTTATGAACTTTTAAATATTGAGATGTAAATCAAATTTTGCCAATTTAACAATTTAAATGACAATTTAAAAGGACTGTTTTCTATTTTAATATATTTTAAAATGTAATTTGAAAGCTGAATTTTCAACATCATTACACATCAGTTTTCAGAGTCACATGATCCTTCAGAAATCATTCTGATATGCTGATTTTATGCTCAAAAAACATAAATTATTAATTTCGATGTTGAAAACAGTCGTGTACCATTTTTTTTCCCCAAAAATTCTTTGATGAATAGAAAGTTCAAAAGAACAGCATTTATGATGATCAATTTAACTCATCCTTGATGAATAAAAGTATTTTCTAATTTTTTCCCCCCAAAAATAAAAAAAATAAATTCTTACTGACCCCAAACTTTTCAATGGTAGTGATTAATGTTGCAAAAGATTTCCATTTCAGATCAATTCTATTCATCGAAGAATCCTGAAATAAAAATGTAAAAAACTGTTTTCAACATGGATAATAATCATAAATGTTTCTTGAGCATCATATTATAATAATTTCTGTAGGATCATGTGACACTGAAGACTGGAGTAATGATGTAAATTCAGCTTTGATCACAGGAATAAATTACACTTCACTGTATATTTACATAGAAAACCGCTGTTTTAAATTCTAATAATATTTCACAATATTACTGTTTTTGTTTTGTATTTTTTATCAAATAATTGCAGCCTTGGTGAGCAGAAGCGACTTCTTTTAAAAACATAAAAAATCTTACCGATCTAAAACTTTTGACCGGTAGTGTATATCTCACGCAGGCCTATTCAGAGGTAGACCGTGTGTGCATGTGACTCGAGTAAGCTGCTTTTCTCAAAATATCAAGTTTATTAGTTGTTTTTTTAATCAATCCACCAGCTACATTTCTTCTCCAGTTTCTCTCCTTTCCCTCCGCTCTTCTTCTCATGTCTGCCTTTTGGATCGAATCGTTCGGTCTGCTTTTAATTTGATGACTAGCAGCTGTCGATCATTCTGCATGCAAATAAACATCCAGGTTTCCGGAAACATCCAACATTTCAATTAGCATTTCCTTCTGATTCAGATTCTCTCTTTTCTCACTCCTGCATATTTTAGTTCTCCCCTCCATCATGTTCCTCGGTTTTCACACGCTTTAATGCCGTTACCTACATTTTCTGGAATGTCTACATGTCCATACATGGGCGTCTGCCAGGCCAAACTGAAGCTGTGTCCTTTTTTAGGGCAATTAGAAAGACTGACTGCAGAAAAGTGATCACTGAAATCAAGGCCGCAGATCAGTTGGAGAACAGACTAATGTCTACTGGGAAGTTCACACCACTGAAGCATGAAACATAAGGGTGTCTTCCCATCAATCACTTGTTGATTTCATTTTAAAAGCGGACATATTAGAAAACGGCGCCTTTTTCGTAAGCCATTTTTTGGTTGAAATAACAAGAACTGGCTCGATTTTTCTTTTACGTTCGGAGGATGAATGAATGAACGGCTTGAATATTCGATCTCAACATGTGGGCGGGAATGAATTTTATTTAAAGCTACAGTACCTAAGATTTTATGCCGCTAGAGGGCGCTACATTCAAAACAACAACAACGGCTTTGCTTGATGACGACGTGGAGGAACGCGGAATGATGGGAACTGTTGTTTTCAACTCCACCGTGGATAAATCAGTCCGACGGGAATCGAAAATTAGTTGTCATGGATGAGGTAAAGTTCGATTTCTATAACTGTTGCGTTTAATGACATGCTTGTTTTTCATTAAACTGAAATAACCGCAAGAAAAGTAAGGTTTAAAAGTAAATTAGTTATCACAGATGTTAGGGGAGAGCCGGAAACACTTTTCAGATAAACGTCGTTTTCTAAGATACAGCCAACAGTTCGTATTCCGAGAAGTATTCGCGGTGAATATGATCTCACGATTTTTCACATCATATGCATAGACAACAAGACATTCTAACAATAATACTAATTGTTTTCCATGGTTTATTGACATGAAATTTGAATACAGAACACGGTGTTACTCACCTGTCAAGTAAAACACATGCAAGATCGGCGTCTCTTTCTAGTTCGAGTTTTTCACGAAGTTCTCTCCATTTTGGAAATGCCACACCGATGTTGAGCTGGTTTTATTTCTCTGGGTCGTTTGGTTGATCCGTTCGTTGACGTTTGCGTTTATGAGACTTGTCTTTGTAGACAGAACCAGGTGCAATCGCTAAAGAATAATTGTGCTCCATTCCATAACAAATGCGCGAAACAAGCTGACGTTTGTTGCTTGATAGACGCTAACGCACAACTACAACTTCCGCATTTGTCCAGGACTACACGCAGTACGAGCGGAAACCGCGGTAACGCGGATATGACGCGATTGACTGGCGACTCCCAGCTCACCCCTGCTCACACGCCCCGTTTCCTTGGTTAAAATCTCAATTTTCTCGTGATTTGAACATTGTTTGAAACATTTGGAATATTGTAAGTTATCATCTTAACTAAATATATAACACTGGCCTTGTGATTTTAGGAAATTATAATGCAAAAATCTTAGATATTCCACCTTTAACGTTACCTCACACACACACACACACACTGAGGCCCTGTTTAGTCGAGACGCTAAACGGGTGAAACGCTCGCGGGTGAAAACGTAAAAATATTTCATCGGATGTGCCTTACATGGCGTTAAATTTATTCTACACTACCATTAAAAAGGTGTTTTTTTTTTGTTTTTTTAAGTGCATTTGAAAGGTTCTTTACGCACGCAAAGGATTCTTTATTTTATTTTAAAAAAATGCAGTAAAATGAATATGGTGAAATATCATCGCAATTTACAATAATATGTAATAAGACGTCACAATATTACCGCTTTTAGTTTGTTTTTCATCAAGTGCAGCATTGGTGAGCATAAGAGACCTCTTTAAAAAGCATGAAAAATATATGACATTTGGACAATAGTGTATAGAAATGATTTTAATTTTTCAGCTATTTGGTTTAATTCTAGTACTTTTTATGATTCAATCAATTCTCAATGATTAAAAAGTTTTTCTCGTTAAATATCCTGGTTATAGTGTTTCACGTTGACTTTAATGTGACGCTGTGATGTAATGAGAGACTTTCTTCAAATACGGCAGTTGATCTAAAAGGGAAAAAGACGACGTTTATGCTAATGTCTGCTTGGCTTGCAGTCATCCTGAGAACGCATCGTACTGCGCTTTGAGTCGCTTCAGAATGCAGTGCCACGTGAAATCCAGCTTGCATAACTCGAAGTGTCTGCTAGAGTATGTCCTCTCGGCGCCGCCTTTAGTTTGCCGTCTCTGTTCATTGTCAATAGCTTCGTTTCGTGTGCTGTTTTCAGAGGGAAAGATGAACAGCTCGAGATGAAGCAGAGGGTTAGAGAGAGAGTGGGTTGAGACAGATTTCTCATCAGTGGGCAGATATTCTTCATGGCCGGAGACCAGCGCATCAAGAGCCAAGAGCAGATGGCCTTACGACAATACGAATCCTCAGCTTCTCTCCCATTTTCTCTTTGTCTGCATTTGTACCTTCTCCTATGAGCTGTCTGAAGTCATCCACTCATTCTTGGCGCATGTTTACCTCTCGTGAATGTTAATGGACTTTCCCAGAGGTTTGTTTTGCACAATGAAAGTTGTTTTCGAGGCACTCTAAGTATGTGTTTCCTGGAGTTCAGCAGTGGCCTCGTTAGCATCAGTTTGGCCAACGCTGGGTCTAAAGCTGTCCTGAGACCTCTGCTTCTCTTCCTCAGGGCATCTGGCGTATTCCAGTAGATGAGATCGATCGTCCTGGTAGTTTTGCATCTCATATGAACAGATCCATCGTGCTGTTGCTGGATGTTCTGTCTCAACTGAAAGATCACCACACATTACTCAAAATCTCCCTCATGCTTCAGAGAACCCCCGACCAGGGAAAGTAAGAACACCATATCTCAATTCATTGATTTGCGTACCTTGTTTGTTGTTCCACAGGTGGGACGTTTGCCACTATATTTTTAAAACAATAATATCTTAGTAAATACCTTAAATTATATTGACAAACTATATATCATTTGAAAGCTTACAATCTCTAGTTTCCATATTTGGTGACTGATTTTCAAAATATATTACAGAGGAGCCATAATTTATCAATATAAAACAAGAATATTTTCATACTCATAAGGCGTGTTCAGACCTTTATTTTAAAATAGCAGTAAACATGAAAAATCATGAAAAAATGGTAGATACCTCAGTTTGTTTTCATGCCAAAAGTTCAAAAGATAGAATCCATTCAATTATTTTGGAAAAAAAAGTCTGTTAAGTTTAAAATATCAAGAAAAAAATAATAAATTCACCATTTGTGACGTGGCAGCTAGCTATGACTTACATGCGTGTTCTTTGTATGTGTTTCTTAGAGGTTCAATTCATATCAAAATCTGCCAAACTTCCCATACTACTTCTGAATAGGATCTCTACTTCAGAAATTGTATGAAAATTGAGAAAATAATGGTTCATATCACTCAAAACACGAATGAAAATGCAGGCGCCCTTATATGGGCAGTAATGGAGTCTGATTGTGCCCTAGTGAAAAAGTTTGGTACTGCGCTCAAACAAAATCTCACTGAAAGCTCATTTTTTGAGATATCAACCTAAAATTTGAAACACAACTTGTTCAGATTTTTGGCTTTGATCTTTCTGCCATTTTAGAGTAGCCCAGGTTTTGAAAATATATATTTTATGTAAAATATGAATAATTAATATTTTTACATTGTACATTTCCATAAACTCAAACTTCTATAACTTTTTTTTCTGTTTCACTTTCTTAATTTATTTCACTTCTACAAAAATCTGCCAAATGTCTTCTTTAAAACAAGACCAATCATATGTCTATATTCCAAAGCATTCTTAAATTACAACCATTTAAGTTCGAAATGTGCATTTTCATGTCTATTCAAAAAAAGGGGGGGGGGGGGGGTGACAGTTAACAGGTTAAAAAAATAAAATAATACATATTTATTACGGGGAATGGGGATGTACACTGTAAAAATGTTTGGTAACACTTTACCTGAATATGACTGACATGACACCTGCCATGAATATGATCGATTATTACATTTTTAATGCAAATATGACATTGAGATGTCTTTGTTATAACATATTGACATAAACCGATACATCATAACCTGTCAGTGTCTTTGTCATGACAATTTGACATTACATTAAAGACATGTGTCATAAACATGACATAGCTGATTAATTCTCAAACTTAAGAAACCACCTAGCTTTATGGGTTAACATTGCATTAAACTGTCAGGTGGTTAGTTTTGACATTGGTTGTCTTGAGGCATTATAACTTTTTAGTGACCAATTCAATTTGAACGACTGTAATTGAGGTCACGAAAAATATTCATGACACAGTTATAATGGCCTCATGACAGCCAATGTCAAAGCCAACCACATGGCAGTCTACTCTAATGTAATGTTAACCCATAAAGCTAAGTGGTTTCTTTAGTTTGAATAATTAATCTGCTATGACATATTTATGTCAAGTTGTCATGACAGACACTGACAGGTTATGATGTATTGGTTTATCTCAATGTGTTATTACAAGACATCTCAAAGTCATATTTGCATAAAAAATTGTCATATTTGAGCGAATGACACTCAATGACAGTTGTCACAAACATGCATAAAACCTCCTTCGTATTCATAACATGTCATGTCTATGAAAGTGTCATGCATGTCTTATGCACACCCCTTCAAGTAAAGTGTTACCAAATGTTTTTAGAAACCTTTACAAAGGTTGTAAATAAAACATTATTTTATTATAGTATGTTGCATGAAAATACTATTTTAATCTTTCTACTTTATAATGTCACATGTAATTGTGTGAAGTTTACTTTTGTAATTGTGTGAAATTTCTGAGTGAAAATTGTTTCCTAGTTTTTATTTTTTTATTTTTTTTCGAGTAAACCCCACATCAATATTTTAGCTTCAAGGAGTCGTTCACTTTTCAAAAAACATTTTGCTGATGATTTACTCACCCCCATGTCATCCAAGATGTGCATGTTATTCTTTCTTCAGTCGAAAAGAAATTAAGGATTTTGATGAAAACATTCCAGGATTTTTCTCCATATAATGGACTTCAATGGGGTCCAAACCGTTCAAGGTCCAAATGAGAGTTTCAGTGCAGCTTCAAAGGGCTTTAAACGATTCCAAATGATGAAAAAGGGTCTAATCAAGCGAAACGAGCGGTCATTTCAAAAATAAATAACAAAGTTTAAGTTTTATAAGCTCAAATGCTCTCCTTGCTCTGTTCTGTGATGCACGTTCGTGACTCTCCTGCTCGAACTCGCTCATCAAAATGAACAAATCCTTTTTCGTGTCATTTGGTTCATTCAACGAACGAAATGAACGAATTGACTCGGGCAAAGATTCGTAATTAATTTATTTTCGACTGACAAAAGAAAGACATGGACATCTTGGATGACATGGGGGTGAGTAAATTATCAGCAAAAGTTTTTTGAAAAGTGAACTACTCCTTTAACTTCTTAAATTTAGTGTTGCCTTACGCTTGTTAAATTATCCTCGTCTAAAGTTGCATATTCGAATAATTGGTTAATGTTTGGAAAAAGTCTACCCTTCTATTCAAATCAATTCTTGAGGTAATGATTCGATTAAAAATCAATTCTCGGTTTTGAATCAAATTTCGATTCGATGTATGCACTGGAGTGTAGTTTACTGTTTTGTGTTACTTTTCTTTTTTGACTGCGGTAGAAAAAGTTCACACTGAATTAATTTTAAACCTCGAAATGTATTTAGAATTGTTCTTCCTATTTTAGTTTGTATAAAACAAATACCATTTAAGCTGACTAATCATTACACACATGGACTGGCAGTCTTCTGTATTAAAGAGACTAAGAGAAAACTACTTAGTAAATAAGTAAAACTAATTGATACAAAAATAAAAACTTTTTCACTGGTAAATAAAAGGAAGCCTAGTTTTATTGAGCATGTCTTAAGAAATACTACAAAATTTGAATAATCAAATGTAAAATGAAAACATTGTAAAATCTTCACTGTAAGAATTCTATTTAAATTGATTGATATTCATTGATACTGTCAAAAGCAGTGAGTGATTTTCTGTTTTTTTATTAAAAAACAGTTTATTAGGCTGCTGTCTCTTTAAGAACAAATGCACAGATCTGATTTGCTCCTGATCTGTTTACGTTCACGTAGGACATAACAGACTGTTTATGTGTGTACTCCACACAATGTGCATTTGTGTTGTGTTTATCTTTGACCATTTAAGAGCAATAAACAGTGACGGAGAACTGAATTCGGGATCGCATGCATCTGTGCTGGAGCTTCGGCTGTGTCCTTTTTCGCGACTTAATAACAGTCTAACACGTCAACAACTTGAAGTAGTACTGCGAAGTTTAAGAAATGTTTTTCCTCCCACACCTACATTTTTTTACAGCTTAGATTTTTTTATTTTAATGTGAAACACTGCATAAAGAATGTTTATTCAAAGACACATCTTATATTTTCATATATTGTGTGTTACAGGAAGTACTTGCGAGATGTGGACCGACAAGTTTTGGCCAAGCGAGCGTTTTGCTTCACTGTAAAAGTGCTGGAGGACAATCTGGACAAACTCACAGGGGTATGTCAACTAATGCTCTCATTTGTTTTTTGAAGGTTTTATTTTTGTTTCTGTTTCTTTATTGTGTGTTTTGTTTTATTATACCCCAGAAATCAGAAATAGAAGCTGAACAGTGGCCTTGGTGTCATATGTTTCCTATGGAGACACTGCCATGTTTGGGAAATGAGACTTAAGCCAGCTCTGACAGCCAAGGATACGCTTATGTTTGTGCTAACACATTAGCTAATGCCATCCTGACTGCTAGAAGAACAGAGATCGCATCGCTTAACTTGGTGCCTGTGCTTCTGTCTTTAAAGGTCTTTGCATTCCCAAGTTAGAACAGATTAATTGCAGGGAAACTTCAATATAAATGTTGCGTTTGTGACCTTTCTCGCTTCTAGAGTCACACTTGTCATTCTTTCAGCAGAATTAGCCATTTTCACAGTGATTTAATACTATTTAATAGAATTTTCATACAGATTTAATACACATTTAATACAACTATACTCCGACATACTTCAAGCGAAATCAAAGAACAGATGTGACATCATTTCAAACAAAAAATCAGGCCAAAGCGAAGTTAATTAGGGAGATTGAAACAGAAACTTTCCAGAAAAGTTTGCTCCCACTGGTAAACACCTTTAAATGATAGAGCGTATGAATTGAGGTCACTTTCCCGCCGGATCACACTCCCTCAGAAGGATCGAGTGGGAGAAGAGCTGCTGTGTGACTGGATTTAATAGAGGAAAACACGAGTAAAACAAACGATATGAGTTTATATTAAAGCTTGGACTCGATATAACGTTCCTCACATCTTACCAAAGATCCAGTGATCCACGGATATTGACATGCAGCAGGAATCGTGTTTCCTGTCATTTATATGAGCCTGATTTCAACATCGGGGAAATACATCAAGCAAATTTGCCTGTGAATGTTTTATATAAATACAATACAGGTCTAAATCTGTGTGATCACTTATATTAATGTTATACAGTACTGTGCTGAAGTCTTAGGCACACTAGTATTTTCGCTTCAAAGAAATGGTTTTAAGCCAGTTATTTATGTATTTTGTTGTAGTGTCTCAGTAGGAAATATCAGTTTACATTTCCAGACATTAATTGTAATAATCCAGTGAAATTTTTGAAAGCACAAGGATTCTGACAACAGCCAATGCTCCACACGGAGGTCGGATCGAGTGCATCTGAAATTATATGAAGAAACGGAAAAAACAGAGACTAAGACCAGAAGAACTGCGACAATCGTCTGTTTTTTACAGTCAAGCCGGGAAACATGTGAGGCTATCGTCTGGTTCCACAGTCAGGTTTGCGACAGCAGAGACGAGAACCCTTGCACATGCATAGTCAACGTATAACCTGTGGGGAAAAGGGCGTTTTAAACTTTAATTTGGGGCAAAATCATCAAACTTTTAGCCATTTTTATCATATTTTACTGCTGTTTTTATCCACAAGTTTCCTACGTCCCATGAGGCCTTGCGTCAAAAGTGGGCACGACTTCCGGTTCAAAGTAAACAAAGCGCGATTTGACATGCTTGACACTCGTTCATTCAACAGTTGACAGTCATTCAAGTTATAGCGATCCAAACTAGCTAACGATGTGGGAACACAACCTCAACGAAATTCAAAACCCTCCGCAGTAGTTGATTGGGAGTATTATAATAACATTATATAATAATCAATACTCATCAAGGCATGGTGACAGACAGTTGTGTGAGCTGACAAACAATGGAAATAAAAAATACACACTTAGTCATTGTGCTTTGGAGTTTATTCAAAATTAGAAATGAATGTGCTGTTTGAATACATTAACTGGCACATTTGGTATTCTGTCAACACAGGCTTTGATCCTGAGTTTAGGTGTAACATCAGTAGAGAACAGCCAATCACATGCTGAGAGAGTTTATAGAATATTAAGAATTTAAACTAATGTACACAGGAAGATTTGTCGTCTTTTGAGAGGTGATGGAAACTAACGTTACAGTCGTTGGCAGGATCACTCTGATTTCGTTTTCAGCTTATGTTCAAAACAATCACGTTTAAGCCACTGAATTAGTTTAGTCCGGTTATACATACAACCGCGAACAGCACATGTTGTCCCTGAGCTCCGTAACGACATCTCTCATAAAGATTTGCGTCTTGGGACTCGCGACTCGGACTCGGTCTCGAGACCATATTTTAATGGTCTTGGTCTTGTCATGGACTCGTGTGCATTTGGACTTGGAATTGACTCGTACTCGAACAGTTTTTTTTTAGGACTCGGACTTATTCCCGAGTCCACTCGAGTTCAATTAAAAATATTTTTCATGATTATTAATGTATGTTAATAAAATATTTCTTTAAATTGATTGACACGCCCAGTGATTGGTGATTTTCTAGTGCGCAACTGCGCATGACAAATTGTAATAAAATTACTTTTAACACCACCTACTATGTGGCCTTTTTACCCTAAACTGATCATATTTTTTAAACTCTAAGTAAATTCAGTAAAAAAAAAAAAAGGATTTCTCTAAGTAAATAAAAGTAAATTAGGTAATCAACCCTCACTGGTCTCGGTCTCGACTCGGACTCGACCATCTCTGGTCTCGGACTCGACTCGGACTTGACTCTTTATGGACTCGGTCTTGACTCGGACTCGACTCTCTCTGGTCTCGGTCTCGACTCGGACTCGAGTGAGGTGGTCTTGACTACAACACGGCAAAACACCATTGGAATGCTACTTCCGCCGCCTCACCGGAAGTTTCACCCACTTTATTTTTTACAGGAGCGCCCCTCGGAAACTTGTGGATACAAGCAGTTTTTACGTCCCGGTGACCAGTGAAAGTACAATTCTGACTCTCTACTCATTCATTTAGATAGGAGCCTGGTCTTGTTAGTCCCAAATAGCTGCCAAGATGGCGGCCGAGTGGCAGGACTTGCCTAAAGGGACTTTGACCATGTTCAATCAGTGTTTGCTGGTGTCTGTTGGGTCAGTGTGAACATGACAGTTATTTTTGATAAAAACACTAAATTCTATCAGCCAACTTGATTGTTGGCGTTCGTCTGTGCGGTGTGAATTGGCCTTAAAGGGTTAGTTCACTCAAAAATGAAAATTAAGTCATTAATTACTCACCCCCATGCTGTACCAACCCCGTAAGACCTTCGTTCGTCTTCGGAACACAAATAAAGATATTTTTGATTAAATTTGAGAGCTGTATAACTACCACATTGGCTCCTAAAGGACTGGCTCTTGACGGCCCAGAAAGTCAATGAAGAAAATGTTTAAATATCCCAAGTGACTACCGTGGCTCAACTATAAGTTTATCAAGCGACGCGAATACTTTTTGTGCGAAAAAACAAACAAAAATAACGAGTTTATTCGACTATTCCTTTTCTTCCTTGTAGGCCAGAAACGAGACTTCCTTAGATTTCCACGACGCATGCGCGAGAACTGAACTGAAGTAGTGTAAGCAGATCGCAATTCTCGCGCATGCGTCGTGCAAATCTAAGGAAGTCTCGTTTCTGGCCTACAAGGAAGAAAAGAAATAGTCGAATAAACTCGTTATTTTTGTTTGTTTTTTCGCACAAAAAGTATTCGCGTCGCTTGATAAACATATAGTTGAGCCACGGTAGTCACTTGGGATATTTAAACATTTTCTTCATTGACTTTCTGGGCCGTCAAGAGCCAGTCCCTTAGGCAGCCAATGTGGTAGTTATACAGCTCTCAAATTTAATCAAAAATATCTTCATTTGTGTTCCGAAGACGAACGAAGGTCTTACTGGGTTGGTACAGCATGGGGGTGAGTAATTAATGACTTAATTTTCATTTTTGGGTGAACTAACCCTTTAAGATGTGGCTTCTCTGCTGCATTTATAGTGTGAAGATGTTTCAGTTTCTCTTTCATTCTCTCTCTCTCTCAGGTAAGCGATCCTCCTAAAGCGTCTGAAATGACCACAGCGGATGTTTCCAACCGGCCTCCTGCTGCAGAAGACCCCAAATGCTCACACACCAGCCAGCCTAAAGCAGGAGTCCCCGACACCCCTACAGGGAGTGAGACGGGACCTCCTGCCGCTCCTCAACAGCATTCAGCCACACTTCAGCTCTCTCTGGAGCCTTTGACTCAGGTCACAGCGGTCACGGTTCACCCCAGAGAAGGTACTTCAGGACTCGGAGAGCCTATGGAGCTCGGCTTGGGATTATGGCCGGGTGCTTCAAAATTCAGAGAGCCTCAAACACCAATTGACACTGTCCCACAAGAGCAGGCGATGGTTAAATCAGTAGCGGAGGAGGTCGAGAAGATCCCAGAGAGCAGTCGGGCGACGGAGCTGTCGCTGGAGGAGTTGAGCATTAGCTCTAAACAGCAACAGCTACAGCTACAGAATCAGGTGAACGCAGCGCCAACGCCAAGCAGCCCTGAGCTAACGCTTCCACAGAGACCCAACAGAAAGAGAAAACTGCTGGATGACGTGGAGTCTGGCAAGACGCTGCTTCTGGATGCGTACAGGGTTTGGCAGCAAGGTCAGAAGGGCATGACCTACGACCTGCAGCGCATCGAGAAGATCATGTCCGAGACCTACATGCTGATTAAACAGGTGAGAAAGGGATGGGAGTTGCGATGTCATATCTCAGTTAAACATGACGTGGCTCTTTGAAAGCTTGCCGGAAAAGAAACGAGGTTAATCTTCAACCACTTTCAGGGGGAAATCCCAGAACGTTTGTTGAAGTAAAGATTTATGAGGGGAAGTCCGAGAAACCCGTCACACCATAAGCTGTCTTTTGTATTATCGGTGAAAAGATGCGTCTTATCTTGGTGTCGGACTCGGTGAAGCAAGCTAAGCTAGATTTCTGAAGAAAGTGTATGTGGTGTTTGTTCATGCTGAATATGCCAACACAAGTGCATCGCAGGTGGTTTCCAGCGCAGCGCTCTGCGGTTACTAAAGTGTTCTGGGTCATTTGTTTTGCTATGTTTTTGCTAGGGTGTTCTGGTTGACAACTATGATCTGGAGCTGGATTCACAAAACATTAAAGTCCCCTTGTAGTCAATCATTTTATCCCTTAAAATTAATCTTTGATCACCAAAATGACACATTTAAGTTTTTTTTCCTTGAGAATTTGCTTGAATGTAATTCGACACCCTTGTCTCATTAGGTATACGCGGTTCTATGAATATGCAAATGAGCCCCGCCTCCACCCACCCACTCACTCAGCTCAGAAATCCAGATCACACGTTAATCTGATTGGTTACAAGGTGGTTTGTGACGTCAGAAACACCAGCGATTTCAAAGCGTGTTTTTTACACAGTCTTTGGCCCCGTCCACACTACTGCGTTTTCGTTTAAAAACGGAGACCTTTTGCTACGTTTGCAGCTCCCGTCCAGACTAAAACGGGAAAAACGAAGACCTAAAACGGAGAAGTTTAGAAACGCTGCAGCTGCGTTTTGCGTTTTGAATCTCCGGAGGGCGTTTTAGTGTGGACGAGACAAAACAGAGGAGTTTACAAACGATGACGCAGAGGCTCACGCTCGGCTCTATGATTGGGTGTTATCAGTCATGACGTGTCCTTCCCTGATTGGCCAACCACTGTTTACACCGGCGCGCGCATGCCCAGTGTTGGTGAATGGTCACGTGATCCGCGTTTTCAGTCGTTTTAATATGGACGGAGATCAATTCTAATACGCAGACAAAACGCTGGTGTGGACGGAGATCGTATTCGTTTTAATTCTCCGTTTTTTTAACGAAAACTCAGTAGTGTGGACGGGGCCTTTGGTTCACTGCAGTTTTAAGGAGGAAATACTCAGCAATGCTGTCCACTTATGAAATTACACATTTGATCTTCAAGCATATTAAAAACGTCACATAGACATATAAACGACATTAAAAGCTGGATTTTCACCACATGGGGATTTTACGATTGTTTTTACAGTAAGATAGAACTTCAAATTCTTGAAAATAATCTTCATAAAAATCATTGTAATAAATTCTTAATTTTTTGTATGCGTTTTTCGTATTCGTGCTTCAGTGGCTCTGAATTGTCAAACTCCATTCAAACTGCTTGCTACGGATGCGAAAAACGCAGAAATCGAACCCAATTCGATTTTCTTTTTATTTTTAAGTTTCAGAGGCAGTGTGCGAGCGTGATTGACATAACGTGCGGTCGTATTTTTTTAACGTGCGAAAATTGGACGCGAATTTCGGACTCAGTGTGCAAGGGCCTTAAACCTTCATCAATCTGGTGCACATTAAGTATGCAAATTGAACAAAGAAAAAACACTGTGTGTTGACTTGTACCTGAACTTTAAATGAGACTCAACCTTATTTTTAGTTGTGATTAGTGTCTCAGTCTACATTAGCCAAACAACTTTATATTATTATTATTATTCCTATAACAATGTTGGAAAATAAATGCACTGTAAAAATAATTAAAACTGCATAATACATTAGTATATTATTTAACTTTGCACTTCAATAGGACAATTACAATACTTTTGTCCTAACTTCACCTCACTTGTAATAGATTAACCCTTTTATTTTAATGAAAACTGTAGTTGAGCTTATATTTGGGTGAAAAATACATTTTCGGTGAAAACAGCTTTACAAACATGTCTTATTAGAAATCTAGTAAAATGCTATGAACATGTTGGAAATTGTGCTAATGTGAACATAAAGCATAACCGGTGCCTGTTACGTTCGTAAATTCAGGCTAAACTCATTCACTGTGAACTGAACCGTCCCGAGACTCGGAAAACTGATCGCTTGAGCTTTTAAACACGCAGCACAACAAACTAAACTTATTTCTTGCAAAGTCTTTTTCTTGCAATTTGATGAGTGCACAAAGCCATATCGCACTTTCAATTTTATTTCATTTGACTGATACTTTGCCAAAGCAATGGCAAAAAAAGACCTTTTATGTTTTCAATGATATTCTGTTCATTATGAAACTGTGATCTAGGTCATTATTGGGAAACTCTACACTAGGGATTTATACACTTACTCTGAAGTGACGCTAATGACCGATCATGTAAACAATGATCGCTCATGATGATTGAAAATTCGTGACTTGAATTCAAAATTCAGGAACAATTTGTCAAAGTCAAATCGAGACCTTGTTTTTGATTTTATAATTACACAAGGAAAATCTGCTCGCTGTTTAAATATTCTAAAAAATTCTAAATATTTTAATAGGGGAAGAGAAGTAAACTGTAAACTGCCTCCATAAAGATGACGGCGTAACGGATGATTTAATCATTTGACAAAAACTATTAAAAAAAGTCATGAAAAATAAAATTAAATAAGAAAGATAATGGTTACTTTTAGCATTGTTTCATTTCTTAAAGATAATATTTGGACTTTTTTTTCAAGAATTGCTCTTAGAAACATTCTTACGAGCTTCTTAACTTATTTTTAAATAAGATTTTTGTGAATCTGGCCCCTGGTCTCTAGATATGACTCGGATCCTCCTAATGGCTAATGTTCTGTTTAGTAGTTCAAATTTGAAATACTTCAGGTTAGGGATTTAAACAACCCTAAATGAGAACAATAGTAATATCAATGCTTGTGTTAGCAAAAATAAAACGCTGATGAACGTAATTCTTTTAGTCACGAAGCACACTGTGAAGTGGGATGCCGATCGAGCTATACTATGCTATATTATAGAGACATTAAGGCATCCCTGGGGAGAGAGAGCGAGTGCCAATTGAATACAAATGGAACTGTGGAAAATTACTGGTGTAGCTAATGATAGTGTAGCACACGAGCTCCATAACATTTGTCATCACAGTGCTGAGTCAAGTATGCTATTGTTAAGAGTCAGTGAGGTCTTAAAGGACCGGCTTTATTACTCACAGAACCTCAAATGCCCTTTGAGTTCATATGTTACTAACATGTTTGTGCTTTGAGATTTAACTTTTTACTTCAATTAAAACAATAATTTGAGGCTTTTTGACATGGGTCAGTCAGCAAGTAGACACTATAGCAACACGCATGACTTGACATGGGCCAGCATCATTCATATTTTATTCAAATGTAAAATCGGGTTCATAAACCTAACAATTCACGCTATAGATGTGTGTGTGTGTTTTTGGTAAAAACAAAAAACAAGTGGTTATGTCTCATTGTGCTCTTTTTCCCAAAACCATCATCAAGTGTTGAGCTCTGTATTTAATTATGTCAAGGTAAAAAACAAACTAGCAAAGTTGCCATTAAAGTATGTTATTAGTATGAGAGGTTAATGGCTCTAGCTGGCAGTTTACACACACACACACACACACACACACACACACACTCACAGCGCTCATCTAGTCCATTATCAGCCTCTACCTCTCTATCAGTGTATCACCTCTCATTTCCCCTGCCTGTGTAATTGCATCTGCTCTCTGAGTGTGTGTGTGTGTCTACCTCAGTCTAATTGTAGTGCTTGTCTCTGCATGTGTGTTTATGAATGTTTGTGTGTGTTTTCTGTGGTTGTTGTGATGAAGCACCGTCTAACGCTCTGATTGAGCTGGGGAGAGATGTTAATGTGGCCCCTGCACACCGGCCCATCTTTACCTCTGATTGAGGAACGGTTGTGTGTGAAAAATTGGAGCCTATATATAATGCACTATTAAGATATTTTGATTTATTTGTTCTCAAACTCACTGCAGTTTATTCTTGGATTGCCTCAGTAAAGGTAATGTGGTTCTGCTTTAGGATTTGGCTGAAGCGAAGTATCTTGGAAAGCTGCCTACATTTGGGTCAGTCTTCACATTTGATGGCCTGTGAAATAATGGCATCCATGGTTATTAACGCACTGGAAACTGCAAACTCAGTCCAAATCAGCAGTAATAGAAATTAAAATAACTTTCTGACACTTTATTCAATCAATCATGTGGTCAGATGTTTTTGTCACTGGCCTCCAACAGTCGTTAGCATTTATGAACGATGTTGCTCTATTTGGTGATATATTTTACTTATTGAGCTTTAGGCCCCATTTACACTGCATGGTTCAAGTGACCCAAATCTGATTGTTTCCTCTCATTTGGCACAGATCGGATATGGCCGGTGAACTTGGATTCAGGCCTCACTCAAATCTGGTAATAAATCGGATATGAATCGGACATGTGCATTTGCGAGTGCCATGTAAAGCCCCGTTCACACGGGGTCGCTAGGCTCTGTACGGTGATGTCGCTTGTGGGCGTTTGTAGTGCTGTCGCTCTGATGTTATTGGTAGACTGCACGTCTGGCTATATCTATACAAAATACCACCAGAAGTGATATATAACTTTAATTTGACTGGGAATAAATGACTTTTAAGGCTAAAAAGAAACCGCATGCAGTTGGGAGAGTGTTTTTATATCTCCACAGCTGTGTTCAGTGGATTAAACCATTTACTAGATCAACGATCAATCAATGAACAAATTAAACTCACAAATTATAAAAACGTCATTCGAATTTGACAAATAATCAATTTTCTTGTCCCTAATATTCAACGTAATGCAGGGGAAATTGTAAAATGAACTGCATCAACGTGTATCATAAAATTAAAACACTCGAACTATATTGTTAAATGTATGAATTAAACTCACTGAGACTGTCGACAGTTTTTTTCCATGCATCAT